CGATTCTGATTAAACTATTCTGGTTAGATTTGGTGAATGAAACTGTCAGAACTGTAGGGTATTTAGTGAGGAGATATTGGTATTGCCGTTTCGAAGGAATAGCGATATAATATTTGAGTAAAATTACTCTCATTGAAGGTGTTTTCTAATATACTTAAGGTGTGAATTCAAAATCAATGCTTGATGGGATCATGAGGCTCAAGGCACTTTACAATGCAATTGCTTTTTAACCAAAAGCCCTAGCTTTACTTTTGAAGTAGTAAATAAATAACCATCATAATTATATTTATCTTTTGCAATATTTGACTGCCGCTCTGCCTTGAGTCACACCTTCCAGTGATGAAAATGGTAGTAACTGTTGTATGATTATGATCCGGTAAAAAAATTTAGTCAAAATGCGGCCTTTTTGCTGAAAGAGAAAGTCAAAATGACATTTTGAACTTCAGATTTTTTGCATTTTTAAATTTGGTTTTTTTTACCTTGATCCTGTTCATTTTTATTTTGCTCTCATTTAATATACTTGGCATTTAACTTTAAGCAAAGTTTTGATTTTGCTGACAATGACGTAATAGTAAAAGGTTTTTGTGTTATTTTAATCACTTTCGAATAAGTGTTTAAAATAACTATTTTTTAGTGCTTCAACGTTTATTTGTTGAATCCCACGCAAATACATATGTATATATACATATGTAGGTCAGTGTGCGGTCGCTTTACATCAACCAGTTGTGCGGGTTTCGTATACAATTATAAACGTTATACTGAATAATTTTGAATACAAAATATTTGCGCAAAGACAAAATATTAGAGCGGGCCCTCTCTTTTATTAATTGCTATTTGTGCCGTGACTATTCACGCACATGAACAGTCCTTAATCTCTAAGGCCTGGTAGCGGTGCACATTGAACGGTAGATAGACAAAGTAGCATAATATGTGTTTGCATTTAGTTGATTTTTCTGTTATGTCTCTTTGGTATTATTAGTAAGCATTCCTTTTACATTTGGTGTTGTTCTTGCACATAGACATGTTATTCCTAATCACGTAGCACAGTCTTTTTGGGAATATTTTAGACTAAAGTTGCAACCTGCAACACCAAATATGGCAAAGAAATCTAAGGTATATATTCTGCTTCGATTTGTTGGTTAACTTAATTATCTTGCTGCCTTTAACTTCGATTTTAACTTTAACCTACAGGACAAACTTACGCGCATAAGGAAGTAAGTTTTTATAGCCTTATTTAAAACTTTTAAAGATACGTTTTCAGGAAATTTATTTTTTGGAGTAAAACTAATATTTTTTTAAATTTTAGTTTGTTGGGACATCATCGAATCGGCGATAAAGGCACGGTATGTAAAATGCAATTTAACTAACTAATTAATTGAAATTTTGTCCTTAGAAATGAGAGTAATGTTGCCTTGAGTTGTTAGTAGTATTTTGGAGTTAAGTTAAAGACAATTATTAATTCTAGAACTGGGGCAATCATCTCTTTCTCGTATTATATCATCGATGAGAATTGGACATTATAAAACACCTAGTATTTGGACACTTTTGGTAGGGTTTACTTTGTTCGCCACTGAGTATGATTCACAAAAAATAACCTTATTTGTTTAGCATGTGACATCCTTTTAAATACCATTTAACAGATATTATAAGCCTAGTTTTTCTTTATTTAGACACAGATCAAGTAAGTTGCACACCTTGGACTAACAGTAAACACAGTTTTATTGGGTTTTCCAAAAAAATCTTTAACTGCATATAGTTGTTACAGCAACGGAAATTGAAGTGACATTTGAAGTTTTGATAATCCACGTCAAACTTTAATCATGTCACAAAAATTTCAGTTGTAGAATGCTAGGCCTTTATTACTGCAAGTTGATTGTCAAATTAAATGAATCAAATGTTATAAGTGTATCGGCTCTGAGTGAGAAATGCAATTTATCATTTTCAGGCTTAACCTTCGCTTTATACATTTGCATTCGAATTAGTAAATGAAAGCAATTTCTGACCATCACGCTATATTTTCCTTTGATTTCTAGGATATGTACTTTTTGTTCATCTCTCGAGGGTTAACTTAATATTTTTGTCCAATTGTTTCAATGCCCGAAATATACCAGTCGATTAAGCTTGTGGGTTTTGATTTGTGCACTCGATTATAGCTTTGAGTGTTTTTGTAAAAAGCAAACTGATCCAAGAAATTGTTGATTATTTTTGGAGGATTAAATGAATCAATTATTAGAACGTAGGCAATGGTATCGAAAGTAATGCGACCATAAACCTTGTCTGTATTTTATTTTTTTATATATTTGAATACGATTAAGCAATGCGATTGACTTATTTACCCCAAATTGAGTGGTAAATATTTGTTAGATTTTTTATATAAATACCTGCTCTTTCGCCGGTATTTCTCACTTTTACCTTATTTATAAGTAGCCATGGAACTCCACCTCACCTCAACTCTCCAATCGCACCTTGCGTAAATGTCCCCTCATCCACTACACTACTTCCCTGTCCACCTCGTGCACCAGGGGCAACTGAACTAACCTTCCCACACGCAATCGTCAAACAGTCATATACTGCACAGCAGTCAGATGAAATGACAGTCCATGTAAGGTGATTATCCTGTTAATTTTTGATGGTTAATTAGTAGAAGCTGAATAGAAAGGCAACTTATTTTCCTGAAGAAAAATCTCGTAAACGCTTGTGGCATCTTGTTGCACAAATGATAAACGCCTAATTTGGTAACTTACTACAAGGGCACTTACCCTATCTTCCTTGTTAGCCAGATTTTAACTTTGAATAGGCAAAGTTTTGCCACTGCTTCTTGTTACTGTGTGGATAGCAAACCAGTTGCATTCGCATACTGCAAGTGGGATTACAAAAAATTAATAGACTACCGTAATCAAATGACAAGTGTTACAATGAAAATTATTTGACATCTAAAGATGTTACCTAAGCAACAAGCGATGCGGGTGGATGTAAGCTTTAAGTGCTTGTCATTGACAACTTAGCTCGAAGTAAGTTCGAAACACTTTTTGGGAACCCTTATTTATCACATAGGTTGTCAAAATATGTTTTTATGGGCTTTTTCAGGAATTTGAATTAGTCGCACTCCTATGTCGAATGGATGAGAACTGGTATTATGCTTGTAGTCTGGATAGAAAGAAAGTTGGTTTGATTCCCCGCAACTTCATTGACATTCGCGTCGACGTTGTCAATTCCAGTAACTTCAAATATTCTAGTGCGAATCCTGAGATACCCAGCCGGCCTGCTGAGACTGAAATCCCCCAGACACAAACTGTTGAAGTATGTTTTAGTAAATGAAATACCACTTTGATTAACTCTGATAAGAAGGCTTAAGCACTGTAATTTACGATAGCTTTATTGCCAGGTGTCACGGGCTCATCCCTGTAATATTACTTAACGTGATTTGTCTGCTTAAAAGTAAAACTTTCAAATTAGCACATCTGCATCCCAACTCCATTTGTCTTTTGTCTGCTTCATTCCTTCATGCCACATATCACTCCGTTCCTAGTGTCTTGGGTAGCAAACCCCTGATTTCTCCTCAATTTTATAGCGTCCTAATTAATAGATGCGTTTTGTGACTAGTGAAATTACCTGCAGGTAACAAGGCAATAAATTACTTTATTAACTTAAAGTGTGTTTTATTTACAAGTCTTAATTTAGTGGATTGTAAAGCACTTCTGATCTGACACAATCTGACTGGCTCGATTTCTGTCTGTAAGGCCTTCTTTAAAGCCAGTCATTGATAAACTAACTTGGTAATTAAAAAGAGGTTTGTCTCTGAAGCTTCCTAACAGAAAATATAAAAAAAAACTAGATATAGACATTTTTTATGGTCGATTTACGTCTCCTTGCGAGCAGTTATTTTACATCAGATTCCTAAGTGTCACCTCAAGTCACGTGAACCTAAAATGTCCAGAGATTCTTGCTGCTAATTCAAGGTTAAGCAGTATTGGAACACACAAATCTGTAAAGCATCCCATGGTTTTTTGTGTGCACGGCTTTTATTTTAACAACTCTAATAACAGCGTACTCCAAAGCTCGAATCTCCTGCATCCTTTATTGGAGCTCTCAATGGCAGAGTTTGAATGTCTTCCTTTTGCCCCACGTTTGTGTGAGTTACTTCTGAACTACCAACTAAGAAGAGGTTGTTCGAATTGACCCGGCAGTTCTAGAGCAAAAGCCTGGCTTCACACGGAAATAAAAGACATCAAGCGACCAACACTCTAAAACTCTCCATTTCGATACCAGATTACAAATCAACCCAATGAATGATAATCGGCGAAGCTGTCAATTATATTAAAGACCAGAAATTTCCTTAAGCGTCCCGTTGAATTGCATTTAAAGAGCGTGAAATCAGACTCCAATTCATGTGAATTAATGTATTTATAAATAAACAGTTTTTGAACAACTTGTCAATTAGCTGTCGAAAAAACAATATGACAGTGACAATCCTGGATTATTAATATGGCTTGCGATATGTAGGTCCTAAAAAATCAAGTCGATTTGCTTTGCCAATTGATTAGAATCGCGATCCATATATCTTTCCGTTTGTTCGGGAAAAAAAGTATATACTCAGTTCAAGGTTGCCAATTTTAAGCGTATCCTGCAATTTATGGGGGCAAAATGCGTGTGTGACTCAACATATAATAGTGAATTTAAACAAATTGCTTTTTTAACGAGAAAGTGGTCAATGGACAAGTTAGTTCTTTATTTGCCTTTTGGCTGGACAAACCGATAACTTGAATTTTCTTTGAAGGGTAAATTTTGTGTACTTGTGAGGAATTTCCTTCAGGTTTCGAAATAAACATGGAATTTCGGACTGCCTTGCGAAAAAGAGACAAGTTTGACACATCAAATAACTTCATAACGAATACTAAATCGAGTGTCGCATACCTTGAAAGGAGTATGCAAATGAGCATAAACGTTGCAAAATTGCCATTTGTGAATATCATTACAGTTTACTGAAACATGATGTGCAACCTCAAGTTCTGCTTCTATTGGTTTAATTTCAACTATACGAAGCCCAAATTCTTGCTATTTGCTTAAAAATTACATCTAGACTTCTGTTCAACACCTATTTTTTCTCAAACTTTTAAAAATTTTTTTCTCGTAGAAGGCACTAAAACTTCGAGAACCTTCTGATGTCTTCTGCAAAGTTCTGCAGGAATTCGAATCACAAACCGATGAGGATCTCAGTGCAAAGGTAAAAAAATTAGTTGTCTTTATAAGTTAGAATTTTCCTCACTCTAGACAGAGGCCCAAATTTCATTAAGAAATGCAAACCGCATTTTGCATCCTTTTTAATATATTATTTGCAATGTTTTTACAGCTCGATGAAATCATCTTGTGGGTAGATGAAGAGGCGGAAAAGGGAAGGCTCATCCCGGAGGATTGGATAAAGTGCATGAACCTCGCAGGAAAAGTTGGAACTTTTCCTGGTAACCTTGTGGTAGCTTTAACTTCAGACGCTGAAATCGATGAAGCTTTGACAAGATCACCACACGCCATTGCGCTCAAGGAATTCACCTCTAATGAAGACGACTTGGTCCCAGTAAATGTAAGTTTCACAAATTTGCGATATTAATCTTAAGTATTTTTTGTGCAGGCCGGGTAAACGATGACTAGAATCGGCTTCACAAATGTTGATAACTTCCTCATGGCTGCCGCAAATCACCGCGTAACTGATTTTACAATCTCGTTTAGACAAGATTTTAGTGTCAGTAATTCACGCATAGTTTATTAAAGTGACATTAAAAGCTGCTAATTATGCTTGACATCCCGCTAAGGCAACATTTTTAGGCTAAAATTGTTTTACTGCAGTGCGTTAGACAGTATTTTTACAATTTAGCTTGTTTTTGTTCGCATTTAATGTAACTCCCTTGATATTTGCTACATAAACTAAGAGAAATAAATCCTTTCCCCGAGTTTATTGGTGGGGTAAAGCGAGTTATACTGTTCATTTCTACAGTCTCAATCACTGTATATTCGGTAGGATCAGCGCCATCTTGATGGGTTGAGTATAATGCTTTTTTACTTAAGAAAAAAATTAGATTATGTGGCATCAGGCATTAGTGTGGATTCCAAATGTGTAATATATTGAGCCTTACTCATGTCGGTTTTTAAGTAGTTTTGTTCCAATTTCCATCAATAATCCGGCATTCTCTGGCGAAAGTGACAAAGTACAAATCGTTTTGTTTTACATGCAATTTTATTTTGTCAAAATCCATTCCTAACAAATGCTCAGAACCCACACAGACCTAGGCATTTCGTACAATGTTGCATAAATGGGCGAAACTGAAGGCTTAAGTGATAGTGAATTCTAAGCGCCTTCAGATTCCTTTGGGTCGCATAAATGATGAGAATTTTTACCCATTTCTGTGACTTTGATTTGGAGGAAAGTACTTTTCGAGCAAAACCTTCGACATCAAATATACTTGGGATCCTTGAAAGTTACACGTACCTCTGAGTTGACTTTGACATGATGTAAGTATTCAAATTGTCATGAATTAATATTTGACTTTTTAGTTCGGTGAGGCTGTTTTCATTGACAAGGTTGCAGATGGATTTATCTTTGGACGAACAGCAAGTGGACATATCGGGAAAATTCCCCTTGAAATTTGCAAAATGGCAGGATCAGCATTCTGAATTTCTTTACTGAAGGATTTTTATTGTTATTTGCAACTTATTAGGCCAACTCAAAGCACCCTACCACTCAATATCAACTCATTTTTTTTACATTTATATTTGTTAAGTTGTTAAGATAATTAACAAGTGGCAATTTGTCTCCAGCTTGAGTCTTCTATCTGGCATAAGCGATCTCTTCGCAACACTCCCTAATACCCCTATTCGGGTGGTTTTAATGCAGCTCATTAAAGGGGTCAAATCTTAGAGTTAATAATTTGAAGTGAATCATAATTGCTGAAGTTAATCTAAGTAAAACTAAAGTAAAATGAACTTCCCGTGAATCGATAATGAGCGCTGATTTGTTTGCAGCAAATTCATCTCGAAAAGAGTTCGGTGTCTTTCCGATCTCATGCACGCTATAATCCGTGCATTTTGAAGATCCGCTGCGAAGGGTGCCCATCGTGTGCCTTTCGGTTGATGCCGGGTCCATTTCACAAGGTTTTAAAGATTTTTATCATTTTACTGAGGAAATAAAAAACCTTGGTTCCTAGTATTCAAGTATAACTAGCAAGCAACGTTTTTTTTCAGTCTTTTGTGTCTATTTTAAATTGACACATAAATTAACCCTATTACTTTTGTAAGCAGTTCATTTTCTATGACATGTTTTGCAGCTTTTAAAGAGATACCCCAGTCGAAATTCTTGGCCCGCAATCAATGCTTTGAATGGGCGTAAATGACTCTTGCTAAAACCTAATGTGCGGTTCCAACAAACTCTTGAGTAATATAGGCCTAACAGACTGACATTTAGTGGCGCTTATTTAGGGTTTATATCAGCATATTACAGTTAGAATGATATGAACTTGCCGTACTAAATCCAAAATCGGGAATTCAGTAGTGGATTTCATCGGTCGGTGTGGCTACGTTTTTCTTTAGTGCCTCAACTTTGAAATCAATGCTAAGTGTCATTATTAGCAGTTTCAAGCAAAACCACTTGCCAAGGCCCATGTTACCCTGAGCAAGTCAAAATTCAATAACTGATTCCTAAGACCCCTATTATAGTTACCATTTACCTCCGTGAAGCTTCTTTCGCGGCTTGTTTCGGGTACTCCAATCCACCAAGGTAATTTTGCTAAAAGGGACTTAGATACCGGATTATACAAAATGCGGCAACAGCCTCATTTTTCCATTAATGTTCTACGGAAAAAAACCCGCAGATTGCATGGCATCGGAAACCAAGTCAACTATTTATGCTCTTGGTCCATTTGACAGACCCGTATTTGTTTCTATTTTTACCTCTGCTCTAAGATTTGATATAACGCGGGTATAACAGCAAGTGGTTGCGGAATTACAACTAGCACCGCACGTAGCAGTCACGCAGAGTCGTTAAAGCGTAGTGGCTCTACATCCTTCAAAGTTTAGGTTCACACAAGTCCCCAAGAGCGTAACTACTACTTCAATCATAACCAAATCAATATCACATAATCAGGCTGCGTTTGCTCTGTTAAATCTAAGGCGACACACTAACTATCTGAATTATTAAAGGAAGCAATTTTGCATGCAGACACGCCGCTTCACATCGACACTCAGAGGAACCTCAACTCACTACAGTTCATTACTTAAACCTAAACTGATTTTCTTCTTTGGTTTTCTTGAGATGCTGAAGAATGCGATTGCATTATTTCCTTCGATAATTTATGCAATGGAATGGGCCAAAAATAAGCTCAAGTAAGATAAAAACTAATTACACGATCAAGTTGTTAGGGTCCCCTTTGAATATAATCTAGTTTTTGTATCATACAATGGGTAATCCTGGCAAATTAGAAAGACTCCCTCAGAGTTATTATTCAATCATATACTTGCTTCTTATTTTTTTAAATATTTTAGGATTAAAAGCTTTCGTTAAGTACAACCTAAAGCGAAATCTTAACATTTAGATTTTTTAATTTCTTGAGCCGTGATATATTCACCCCACCTTGTATCGCTACCAGTGCAGCCAATTGCCTCGAGACAATTCAGTTCCCATTAATCAGAGGAGAAATTTCAGCTTTCTTTACAATAACCACCTTGGCCTCCAAATCCCATACTCCAAACAAGATACGATTCGCATTTTAAGGTCACATTTGACTGGGACTTATCTAGAACAGTGAACATTACTTTCGCTTGATTTGAAACGTTAGATACAAGCTGAGGATGCAAGTTAACCCCCCCGAGCAGCGCACAACATAATAGCGAGGTAATTTCTTTAAACTGCATTTCCATGGCTACTAAAATAAAGATCACTTAACGATTTCTACCTGCATGAATTTGTTTTTTTTCAAAAAAAGGAACAGACATACTTTAGCGTTTAAAAGCGCTTTTGCTAACAACCAACATTCATCAGCAACTAAGCTAGTCTAAGCTTGGACTAACAATGTTATATTTTTAACAAAACCTAGTCATTTATTCTAAAAAGGCCAAAATCGCAAACCATTCTGTTCTTAGGAAATTTGAAAATTGTGTCAAGGATGTAAGCTTCAACAGTAAGCTTGAAGTCGGCGGGAAGGAAGACTTCTGAACCAGAATATTATAAGCTTATTCAGTAAATAAAGCCTGATTTCACTTTTGGCAAATAATATGACCGAGTTGCATTAGTCTTCAGTCTTGATGATCGAATATGGTTACAGTCGGCTGCATATAAATGTAGTAGAGTACTTAGGTCAAACCAGCTTTGTTTTGCTCCATCCACGTTCTTCAACACAGATTTGGGAGCAACCTGGAGCACATTTGGGTGTAGCAACCCAAACCCTAAAGTTAAAGGATAAGGTTTATCAGAAATCGTGCTGATTCATGCCCAATAACCCACCCATCGCATTCTCAGACTCACCCTCCAACCCTTTTCAAGGCGCCTCCATCAATCATGCGGTGCCGTTTGTTTATACTTCCCTGTGCGTGTACCTCCACACGACTCATTCCACTCATCTGACCATTCTGTAGTTTAAATGTTTACAAGTTCATTCAGACTGTAATGATCAACAACAACCCCCATTAGTCAGACATGATCTTTTACGCACAGTAGAGCCATAGACAAAACTTGGTTGAGCGATCTCACAAGCCGTTGGGTCTCTCCCCCCACGTCTCATTTCTTTCTTGGGCATCCGGTGCTGCAGTTTGCCACAACGAAATAAAGGGTTGGTGCACGGCCTATCAGCAGCATTTCATTATGCAAAGACACAAACCAATTTATTGGTCAAATTTGGTACCATTTACACAAAGTACATTTCCTTTTTCACACCACTTGTTTTCAGAAGTTAAGAAATAGGCAAAAAGCATACACCACTTTGAACTTCGCTTATGCTATGGAGCATCATTTTTAAAGCAATTTTGCATACTTCTATGGCAAATTAACATACAGCAAAAAAAGATCAACTTGTTCAGCCACAATCGCGTTTTGCATAATTTGTAGAGAAGTACGTTTTTCACCTAAATCCTGATTGAAACCTTCTTGAGTTAAGTAAACATTCACTTATTAACCCTTAATTGATTGTTTTGAAATAAACATTTTAATAATACTAATAATAATAAATCAGAGTGCTTAGATGGAAACAGTACAACACTTTATAGATTTAATTTAAGTCACAAACCACGGCTCCCTCGCGGAGTTATAGTAAGAAAAATCAATAGCAGATACAATAACGACGTAGTAGGATTCAGTTGGAACCCGAACCTTCGGTTACATACTCTCGTGCATCGGAAGGTGAAGAAGTTCTACGTATAACCAACCTGGGAAGAACTGGATTCCACCCCACAGGGTTGCTACGTGCTATCAGTTTCGATAGAAAAACAATCCTACTAATGATAACTTAAGGCTGTAGTATCTTCCGATGCAGTTTTTTACCTGGTTGCATATATGAAGGATAACTTCAGCACGTGCCATCACGTCACACTAAACTTATGCGTAAGGTTACGTGCAGGCAGACCTTGGAACCAGGTATTTATAGTAAATCTGGTTTTACTCATCACAATTACTAGAGCGATTAAAAAAGTATAACTGATCGCAGCGGACTACTCCAATACAAGTTGAATGTGGCATTATCGTCTCATTATTCAGTGCTATTACATGTAGATTGGTTGTCATTATGCTTTCTCAAGTCCAAGGATAAATGCAAAACACCCCGAGCCTCATAAATCTAGCAGTAAGGCTCGAGGTTCACTATGCTGCAAAGCAGCCAGATAACGGAGTGTTGCGAATTACAATCAATTCCAATCATACCCTGTTAAAAAAACAACTGATGGCAATTACGAAATTGAATTTCACAAAGTTGACGTGTGAACCTTATAAATAGCTTTAAGTAGGCATAAGCGCAAGTTTACCATTGTTAAGTGCAAAGGCATTGCGTATATTTGGCAAGCCGCGCTTAAGCGCTCGTAAATTCCACTTCTCAAGAGCAGGAATTAATGTAGCTACAGATAACCAGCCTGTATGATCGATCGCGAAATGAGTCATTACCTGCACTTCTTACCAACACTTTCAAATACTTCCACTAAGATAAGCGAGACTTTGTTTAAATACTGATTTCACCGATATGTAACCCTATTAAAAAACGAAACACCATGGTCTTGTGAGGAATTTTATATTGCATGTAAATTTGATAGCGTAAACGAGGACTCAGATGCTTAAACCATTCACCACAGAAAGGTTTGATGGAATTAAGCCTGTTTATGCGGATGAACCTTAGAAATTTGGTTAAAATGGGAATTAACTTAAATGTCTCAGCAACAACGGAATAATAGTGCAGAGTTAAACCAAATCAGGCAATGGTAGATTTACTCAACCCATGAGACGCAATAGAAAAACGGATGCTGATCAACCGATCCGTCACATACACGCTTGATTGTACGAACTACAAGAATGACAAAATCACTTATGAAACCAAGTGACCGGGCTTACACTACGGACACGTGACCCCGCGCACACCTCGAACCATTGTAACCCGAGGAATACAAATAAATCAAAAAAAACAAAAGATAATCATGGATTTAAC